GGACCCCCTTTACCCACTCTCTCTTGTTCTTCCACAGCACAGGATCATGTCATCAGGTTGACATGAGCACCATATTTTTAGGTGCTTCCGCTCAGCAATGTGTTCAACTCCTCTCTCCCTCCTTTGTCTCTTCTCAAACCCAATCTTACCATCTCACCAGGGGTTTTCCCCCAAAGCCTTACTTTTAAGGACAAGATTTGGGAGCTCACAAGCCTGAGCTGGAATCTGCTTCCCACCCTGTGTGGGCAACCACACCAGTACACAGCTTATGCCGTAAGCCTCTACAACAGGATTAAAGGATTTAAAAATTAACATTTATAGGACCCTCAAAGTTAGGCTTCTACTATTTTTTTGAGAGATATTTCCAATTAATCCATTTTCTATACTGAAGTTTACACAAAGTTTCATTACAGCAATGCTTTATTTGCCAAGAAGCAAACCCCTGCTATGGGGGAAGGATAGGACCCTGCCCAGCAGGGACATTCTGCCATGTTTCATTTAACTTCCACTTTTAAAAAATCCCAAGAGGGACAATTTTTGCCATAGCATCATTTGATCTTTGCTCCAGTGGTTTCTGCCCAGGTAAGTTTGCTTCCAAGCTTAAAACTTTGTTCCTTTGTCTGCGTTAATGCAGACATCCAGCCTGTACCTTCAAGGAGACAGAAGTGCTCCAGCAACAGACTCAACCAATTTGAAACTTCAAAAAACCTGCTGTTAAACATGAGAAAAATCTCAGCACCAATTTCTTTTGTTTTCATTTTAATACTAGTAGTCTTTTTGCAGAATGCTGTTTCCTTCAAGTACTAAACCTCTTCCTCTTTTGTTATAGCTACACTATGGAACATAAGCGTCCAATGTCCCTCAAAAAGGAAATTAATATGTCCTTCTACAGAAATAATATGACTACACATGACTGCCTTGCAAAAAAAATTTAAATATTTTACTACATTAAAACCATTTCAAATGTATACATTCTACTAATCACGCTGACCTGTGGACAAATGGAAAACATTAAGGGTGAAGACTTTCTTTCAGCTTCAGTCTTCTCTCCCTCTCCTTCCTTTTTTCTCTCTCACCTTTTTTCTAGGAGCTTCGTATTTGCTCCCCCAAATCCATGCAGCTCAGCTTTATGCACCACTTCACCCATCTGAACCCAAGCTGGGCACCGTGCTGTTTCACTGCCACCAACCTGCTGCCATAAAGCCCCTCACTTGGGAGCTGCAACCGCCATCCCCGGCCCCTACGCTGCTGCACCCTCCTCTGGCACAAGGACCAAAGGTTTGCGCGGGGCCAGATAGCAAGGCAGGCAACAACTGTCCCTAAACCGGAGGAATCCACGTGCTGCTCAATTCCCCCGAGCAGGTGACTGGTTTTGTATGCTGATGGGAAGGGGAGGTAGATCAAGGACATCGCCAGCCGTGGGTACAGCACGTGCTTCACAAATTTTGTCTCTATGTAAGAAATGTATTTGCGAGTTGCAGGACACAACAGAGAAAGTTAAAAATACAGGAGGGAAGACATAGCAGGTATTGTTGAAACATTATCACTACAGAAGTACACTGGACTATAAACATACTTTTTTTCTTTAAATGTATTCCTACTGTATTCTAAGTCAATTGCCAATATTCACATTCCTCAGGGCTATTGTATCTAGAACAGCATAGCTGTTACATTCTCCAGGCTGCCTAAGTGTATTCTAAAATGTTTAATTACAAGGTATTTCTTAAAAATTAATCTGTATCACCATAATAATCTATTTCTGGCAGTTCCCTGTATCCTCCAGCTATCTCAGACACCAGCAGACCTTATCATCCAGACTGTTTGGGAGTAAGATGTTCCAGGAGAAAAAGTTCTCCCTCCCAAGGGCTGACTTGTGCCCTGGTGCAAAAATCTGTTTTAACACTCACAGATATTTATTAATTCACAAATCACAGCACTCTTAGCTGTGTTTTGGGCAAACTGTTCCAGCACGGTTTCAGTGGTTCTTGTACTGAGAAGCATCTAGAGGCTAACTATGAAGCATGCACAGATGATTTATTATCATACTGAATGCAAAACATCTTACTGCATCACTGGATTTGCTATTGCACCTTCTGAGACCATCGATATACTTCCAACACCTTTCAGAGCCCAACTCTACTGTACAACAGAAAAAGTTGGTATTTTTTTTTGCAAAGTGACAGCAGAACCCTTTGACACCAATCTTAGCTTCTTGTTAAACATATACAGAAGTTCCTCCCTTGCCTCTTCCAGTGTAAGGTTCGTCTTCACAATTCCCACATCTAACACAACTGTACACCATCCCAAGCCAGAAAGCTCATTTTATTTCTCCACTCCAGTCCTTCTCATCATCCATAGAAGATGGGGACTAGAATGTGTGTACTAGAGATGGAATCTTTAAAGGAAAAGCCTTTTTTTTAATGCTAGTATTTTAACCTCAGCTGGGAGTTAGATAGTTCCCTGAATTGCACAGGAAGTTTTCTCAAGAGACAAATAAAATCACTACTTCTTTTCAGCAGCCTTTAAGGAAACATCTCCCTGCGTAGGTAACCTGCCATGCCTTGGCACTGACAAACACACCTCAAGTGCTCTTCACTCTGGAGACCTCCAACTGGAACCAGGTCTGGAAGAGGGAAGAAGGCCTTTCAGAGGGCCAGGATAGGCCTCTGACATGCAATTTGAGTACTCAGGACACACTCAGAACGTACCTGCACAATACATAGAAACAACGAGCTAACCTCTTCCCTCCTGCTGTATGTAGAGGAAACGTCCCATTTTAACTTACCTGCCTTAATGACCTTAGATTTCTGTCTCTATTGCAGACTTAGGATCTAAGAATCTCCTGCAATAAATTCCTTAGTTTGCAATTCCTTAATTATGGGCAGATTTGAAAAGTACCGTGAGAGATTATTGCTCCTGCAGCAAGCGGCAAAGTGCCTGCAGATGTTTCCACCTCATAGAGCATGGGAGCAGAGCTTACTGTTGAGCTTCATAATGAAACAGCACATACCTGGATTAACTTTTTAATAGAAACAAGGGTGACACCACTGTAAGTTAACACTTGGCTCTTCAGCAGCCTTGTGATTTTGACAGTTTTTGACAAAACCCCCAGATTTTTTTACAGCTGAGAAAAAGGCCTTCCCCAGCCTATTAACATCTCAAACGTCACATACTACTGCTTTAAAGCTGCTACTAGAGAACATGGGAGAAAGCAGCACGTAAACTTCTGCAGAGGAAGAGAGGGTACAGGGTAGACAGAGCATGCTGGTAGTGTTTCTTTCACAGCATACCACTTGCCAACAGCTAGGTTAATTATTATACTCTGAGAGCTTATTCTGAACTAAGCTCCTGCTTCATCCCTTGCAGCGCTCACACGCCTGCCGCCACGGCCGGCAGGTCAGGAAGCCAATCGGCAGGGGCGGGCCGGCCCCGTTTCCTGGGTTTTT